ATCAATCCCACCGCCCTCAGGTTGTCCATCCTCGTCGTGACCTGTGATAGCCTCGAGTCGGCAAGCCTCTTGTGTCCCTACCCAGAGCTTGCCTCTGCCGGGGACGACGGGGTTTGCAGTAAGGACTGAACTGGGCCACGTCAATGTATACCCATTGCTGCCGGAAGCCCTCCACATCGGGGCGGATCTCCATGTCGATGCCTTCGCCCGCCGTCGAGCTCATGGCGCAGAGCCACACGCACCCGGAGCAATGTGTATCGGTGGTTAGCTGCAGACAGAAGAAGTGGCGGAGCAGCGCCACCAAGGGGGCAACACCCACGAAGGCCTCGCACAGGAATGCGAAGGCGGAAAGGAGGAGAACAAATTTCGAGTCAAGGTGCAACGCATGAACCTGATAATGCGTAAGCATGGCACTGAAGAAGTATGAGAATGGAGGCAGCAAGCCGGAGAAGAGGGCGTGGAGATGAATGGCGATGGTGGTGGCTTCCAGCTCGGTGGAAGGCCGCGAAGCAGGCCAAATCTTCATCGCCCTCCACTCGTTGGAGTCGGCCACGATCATCGGGAGGACCTCGCCGAGCCCCTCGCGGTTGAGCACCGTGGATCAACCCAGCACGGGCTCCACCCCGCTCAGCTGCCCGCCGCTGCTATGGCCTTGCTCCTCTTGTTCGGGGGTGACATGGCGGTGCGACGGAACAGGGGTGGCGCAGGACCCGACGGGAAGGGCACAAGCTTGCTCGAGAAGGAAGGTGTTGTGGATGGGCGCGCAGTAAGGTAATGGCGGCCGCACGACCCACATAACTGGCTTTATGTCTGTCCAGACGAATGTCGAGGCATCGTGGGGAAGTGGGGGCATCCCACGCCCCATCGTGTGCCACAGGTCGCACCTGGCCCGCAGGTGGATAGGGTCCGCACCGTTTTGCCCCTTCCTCAATGGGCGGTGTCGCATGCCTCGCAGGCCTAGGGGCTGCTGTCGGGCCTGTGGGACTGAGGGTACCTAGGGCCATCTGCCTGCGGCCCATCGTGTGGCACCGTCGGAAGGCCCAACGCGGCCTAGCTCCAGGGCTCCATGAACAAGACCCTTGTGAGGCGAGCGTCAGCAAGGGTCGTCAGGTGCCTCCGAGGGCTTCATGACGGGCGGCCTCCCAAGGCCCCTCGCGGGGCGGATATCTCTAGGCTCGCCACCCCGCCTCACGAGCCACGACGAGCGGAGCCATAAGGGCGCCAATGGACGCAGATAAGGATGCTTTCATCTTTGGTGCTAAGAAGGCAGGGACGGTACGCGGGTTCCCAAAGCGATCCCCAAAGGTTGCCACTTTGGTGGAAGAAGGACATGACTGCGGGCTTACCAGGGCAGAGGTCAGCACCGAGCCCACCACCGCGTCATGGCGGGAGGCTTTGGCAGGAGAAGACCACCTTTAGTCAAGACAGGATGTACTCCTGTCCCCCTTCGAAATTGACCGTTGTGGTATCCCTTCCCGCTTAGAGATTTTAGGGGAAAAGGGTTAAGGCCAGTATAAGTATAGGCTACTCTCCACCATAGAAGGGGGTCGAACATTGAGCCCTTCTGAGGCAGTTCATCCTTGTACTCTCATGTTCATCCTCCCTCGCGAGGTAATCCACACAAAGCAGGAGTATAGTCTTACACCGCAGGTGGCTCGAACCTGGGTAAATCGCCGTGTTGTGTCTTCCTTCCTCTCGCACGAGCACGTCGGAGCACCACCGTGAGGCAGTGAGTAGCGGGGCGTAGTTTGGTGGAGTTCTTCGCGCATACCCCAGAGTTCGAACTTTTTCTTGGATCCCCGAAGCTTCAATTCCAACCGTTATGATATCTAGGGAGGTGAAAATCTATATCTATACTTACTATTAAAGGGAATATGTATTCTTGGTTTGGTTTTGGTTTGTTTCGTCCTATTTTGATGATTTTTACGTACACTATTTTTTTGGTTTGATTGAGAGTCTGTTTGACAAACGTACGACGTACCTGCAAAGGAAACAAGAAACAAAGGGAACGAGAAACAAAGGGCCGAGGATATACATGCAAAAGAAACCAGGACGGATGACCCATATGTCTATTTTAGTTGCTAGCCCATATTGCGCTGAGGATGCTTCCTCGCTCGGTCCAGGACACACGAAAGAACCCACGGCGTACGACGTGCATACGACATCGCCGCCGCTGGCTTCTCTCCTGTGCCGTGCTATTTTCGAATGGATCCGCGTAGGAGAATTACACCAATACAGAGCCATGGATGCCTCCATCCGGATTCCACAAAGAATTTATGCAATGAAAAGAAAGGATCGACTGGAATTCAAGCTAAATTGCATAGTAAATTCGCAAGACTGCAAGTATCTCGCCCCCCGCCGAGTTCGCCGGAAGATCGCCCAATGTCGCCTTGACCGACTTCGCCGGAAAACAAGACGACGTCCGAAAGACTGCCCAATGTCGCCTCATCAGACTACGACGGAAAACAATCCGACATCCGACAGTGTTCCACAATTCGCCGGAACTTTGTCGGCCGGTTTTACACTTGAGGTATGTGGACAAGCAGGCTTGAAATCATGATTTCTGGTTCTCTGGCGACCTACAGTTTGTTGCTTCAAATATGTCTGAAACCTCTCTTCCTCCCCAACTCGCTTTGGCTACTTTGGCAACCTACAGTTCATCTCTTTTGGACGTATTTATTGGCACGAATTAACCTTGATGAGATAGCAATGTTTCTTACTAGAGAGACCCAGATCCATGCCAAGCAACATATCCTCGAGGACAAAGATTAAAGGTTCTGAATTATAGTGCTATGCATTAGAGATACATTCATGTGTATGACTGACAGTAACATTAGCAACTGTTGTATGTTGTTTTTTCTAGGGAATCGAGAATTCTGCAAGAGTTGCTTCTTACATTTTTATCCCTTTGGATTTAATATATAACTTAAATTTTTCCTAAGAGAAAGAAATGAGTTTAGATATAACTACTTATGACATGCATGTAACCTCAGTAGATGCATTTTTCGCATACATTCATGGTTGATCTACAGGCCTAATAGTATATTGCACATTGGTCGACAGAACATGCAATACCTGACAGTGATGTAGTCTTTGATACATATAATTTTTGGAGGCACAACGTTTCATGTTACTGACGTCCTAATTTAAAAGTAGTTTGTACTATTAATTTATTTCTCAGGTGCTTTATGAAGTTTTTGGTAGTTCACTGTATCATGAGCACATAGTATTTGACATGCGTTGTGGATCATCTCACCCCTAACCAGTGAATGAGTCAGAAGTATTTGAGGAAATTACCCCGAGTTGTTGTTTGATAAATTAGTTTCCAATTCTCATTTTGTTTCGATCTAAATCCTGAGCCCTACACTCTGAGAACTTAGCAGTACTATTTTATTGGTGACAAATTGAACTTAGCAGTACTGTTGAGAGAGTAATGCTTCTTTGTGAATCTAGCTTGCAGCAAGTAGCACTTTAAATAGATGCAAGCAAGTAGTAACCATGAAAAAGATGCTCCTGATTCTGTAGTATGTGTTGTATATTACACTTCTTTTTTGCTGCAGGTTCAATTAATTTTATGTGTCATATAGTGCTCCTGATACTGCCTTCTTCTTATTTTTTTATGTTAATCTGATATAGATAGTTTGATAAGAAGAGTAGCTTTTTATATTGAGAGCTGAGTGGAAGCCGGACTAACCAGACAAAAATCATAGGCTGTAGTGCGCGACTAAGCCGAGCACCAAGCAGCCCGCCACGGGCGTAGACGCGGAGCACCGCATCACCCAAAGAGGCAGGTCACGGTAGACGACAATGAGGAACGACAACCGGAGAAAGCCGTGCCATTGTCCAGGTCGACGCCACACCAGAAACACGAAGGGACGGCGTTGATCGGAACGGCGAGGCGGCATGGCGAGGCGTGGCCGGGGATTAACACAAAAGAAAATGGTGAATCTACACTGGTGGAGAGTGCCGCGTGAGTGGGCGGCCGGCGGTTGGGAAAGGCGGCCGGCGGTGGCATTTACTAGGATAGTGAGATGAGGAACCGGAAGAGAGACAGTGCATGCAGTTCTGGTCTCACTAGAAAGAAGGTGTATTCTTTTTCCAAGAGCGTGCGTGTTGTGTAGGCCAAGTCCTTATGTTTGGGGCAAGCCTAAATAGAGTAAAAAACAATTACAAATGAAATATAATTTTCAAAATCAAACATGTTAGTCATCAAAAAATGAGTTAAAATTTACATTAAAAAAAGAAATCGTGTTATTCTGAACAATAAAAAAAGAGTGAAAGACATCTGTGCATCACTACTTTGTCATCAGATGAAAGTATGAGATGAAAGTGCGGAGCTGCAGTACATCCTGATGAACGATGTTAGGGAGGTTTCTTCACATTCACACTTCATGGAGGGAAAAGGATACTCAGGGTTACCTTATTTCTGATGTTCGTTAAAATTGAATATGTGAAGTGTTCTGCAATGCCACGTTGAGCAGGTTCTATTAATTTTATTGTCCGATGCAATGCACGGGCACTTGTGCTAGTAATCTTTAAAAGAGTATTGCTTGATTCGTGATTTCGCGTACCGCATAACCCAATAAAAGTGTAGCCGTGCCAGACCTTTTTATATCCAGGACTTGTGTGGCCGGTAACAGCACAAGCACATCCCAGGAGCCACGGAGAAGAAGCGAGGGAAGCAACACCCACACGGAACTCGCGGAAGCGAGCAGAAAATTATCGGTTTATCACCTATCGAGCTCCCGCGAGAGACGATGGGAAGCGCAGGAGCGCTGCTCTCCCACCCGCCACCGCAAGTCGGCAGCATCCTCCTCCGTCGCCACCACATCTCTCTTCCCCATCTCTCCTCATGCATGCCCGAGCCCCTCCACTGCCGCCGCCGGCACCTTCGCTGTTCCGCTGTTGAGGGGAGCAGCAGACAGGACACGAATTTGCCAGCGTCTCAAAGAGAAGAGTCTCCATCGAGCAGCCTCGGCGCCACCCTCCAAGATCCACTTCCAGGACGTGGTACGCCTCTAGCCTCTTCTTGTGCTTTCTTGGTATATTGTTGTGTTGAGATCTCAGAGGCATCTGAGCTTTACTACTCCCTCCGTTCCTAAATATAAATCTTTGTAGAGATTTTAATATAGACTACATATGGATGTATATAGACATATTTTATAGTGTAGATTCACTCATTTTGCTCCATATGTATATTGGAACCTCTAGAAAGACTTGTATTTAGTCCATATTGGAACCTCCATATGTAGTCCATTAGTTTAGTTGAACTCGCAAGTCAGGAGTATTAGTGGAACGATTGATTGGGCAATTGGAGGGTTTCAGAGGATCTGCACTTGAATGTCTACTAAATTTTCTGAGAAAGTTCTCGAACGATGCTATACGTACATAGCTTCTGTCCGATTTAGCCAATAAAATTCACCCTTTATTGAAAAAAGCTTTTTTCCGATTTCGGTCCGACGCTACAATCAAGCCATTCATGCCTCTGACCAAACTGCAGTACGCCGTTCGATTTCTTATTGTACTGAGTTCGGATCAGAGGTATTGTACTGTGGTAGTTTTGAAAATTTTGACTCAGAGAGAAATTGATTGTTAAATGTCAAGAATACGGCATTTATGGTATGTTTCAATTTTTACCTTCTTGTCACTACCGTGTCAACCTTTGGTAAATACAACAGCAACAAAGCCTTTGGTAAATGCAGCGCTAAAACAACGGAAATTATCACCCGTACTTTAGTTAAAAGTGACAGTGTTAAAAATGGTCTTACATTTTGGGACAGAGGGAGTAGTATATATGAAAGAGGATAGGCACAGGCTGAAATAAAGCTGTACACTAGAATTATTGATTGTTTGACTTTGAGGAACTATTAGTTCACTAGTGTTAACCCTTTTCAGCTGGATAAAAGAATATGATGCACTTTTATTGTTGTAGCATTACGAAACACAATCTTGATAGACAAGTACTCTAGAAAAATCCATCTCATAATGTGCCTTTTTTTTAACTGGTCATAACTACATCTTATCTTATTAATTATTATGCCTTGGTGGAATTTATTTCTGGAATATGTTGACAGCTCAAATGTATCTTGTACAGTCGAAAATGGTTCTTTTGAAGGTGTCACACAGGAAGAAGATCAGAGTAGTCTATACAATTTTCTTTATCCAAGCAAAGAGCTACTTCCAGATGATAAGGAAATGAGTATATTTGATCATCTAGAGGAACTTCGTGCGAGGATATTTATATCAGTATTGGCTGTTGGAGCTTCAATAATTGGTTGTTTTGCTTTCTCCAAAGATATAATTAAGATTCTTGAAGCGCCTGTTAGTGTTCAGGGTGTCAGATTTTTGCAGCTCTCCCCTGGAGAATTTTTCTTTACAACATTGAAGGTGAACTGCTGTGCACTTAGTATTTTGTTGATATTATTCTTGTAGTTTTTTAGATAATTAATAATATTCTTGGCTTTGAAGGTGAACCTTTAAGGCCAAGTCACATTTCTTATTTTAATGTTCTAGTAATATTGCATTGTGAAGTTATTCATTGTATACATAGTGTACAGCTTGGGGCATCTGCTACAATACAACGATATGAACTGAGCAATCCAAATAGGTCTTACCGTCTTGTTTCCGATAAAGTTGCTTTTATTAAATTAAAATGTAGCATCCATCGGATACAAAGCATAATGTGTGACACCCGGCCTTTGCATGACTAGGATGCACACAACCAACGCTAAGAGTCTCACAAAGTAAAAGAAGACATAAAGACAAAAGTAAAGTCACATGAGATCGAAACTATGTTGTAAGAACGTCTAATCGAATAGATGGGGGTGGGTGAATAGGAGATTTTTAAGAAACTATTTGAAAAAACTATTTTTTCGAAGAACAATGAACTAAACAGAACTGAAATATAACTGACTGAAGAAAACTAGAGTACACAATCAAATAGAACTAGAACAAAGTCATCAGAGTAGATAGCATGCACAAGAACATAACAGAACATGTAAACAAGTCTAATGTAAAGACAGATACACTTCAGTACCAAAACTCTGAATATTAAACAGTGCGTAAGTAAATGGAGCGGAACAGATAAGTATTTAGTGAAAGACTTCCAGAAGAGGGAGGATTAAATTCTTCAGAAGATACAAATTATTTAAAGTAAACAACAACAACAACAACAACAACAACAACAACAACAACAACAACAACAATAACAACAACAACAAAGCCTTTAGCCCCAAACAAGTTGGGGTAGGCTAGAGCTGAAACACATAAGATCTCGCAACCAACTCTTGGTTCTGGCACATGGATAGCTAGCTTTCACTTGAGCACCTTTGTCCATGGCTAGTTCTTTGGTGATATATTCCAGTCATTTAGATCTCTCTTTACGGACTCCTAATATGTCAAGTTTGGTCTACCTTGACCTTTGATGACATTATCAGCACGCTTTAGCCGTCCGCTATGCACTGGAGCTTCTGGAGGCCTGTGCTAAATATGCCCAAACCATCTCAGAAGATGCTGGACAAGCTTCTCAACAATTGGTCCTACCCCAACTATAAAGTAAATAGAGATGAATAATATAGAACCAGTAGCTCGGTGAAGACAAGAATTTGTTGCCCCAGTTTGAGTTGCTATGACAAATACAAGAAGACCAATGTCTGGTTGGAAGGCTGAGATTTAACTTAGAAGACCAATGTCTTCACCCTATTCTCTTTGAGCTAAGATCATTTAGACCTCACCCAATCACTCATGGTATCTTCAAGATAGATCTCCTGGACTTTCACATACTTGTTCTTCGGCATTCCACAATCACTTGGATTTCAGAACCGACACCTATCCGTCTTGAAGATCACAGTCTTCAATAGTAACAAGTCTTCAACGAATTCGAACAGGTTCTTCAGTGATGCTCAATCACTTTGGCTATTAGGCATTGTTTTTTTCCTTGGGATTCACTCAAAGGCTTAGGGAGGACGGGTTGCTCAGACAACACTTGTCTAAATTTCACACGGAGCAGCCAACCAACTTATGGTGGAGGATGGGGGCTATTTATAACTGAGGCCGCAACTCGAGGGCCGATGTGATTGTTGGACAGAACGCACCCACAGCCGTGTTATCGCCAGCTGGCACAACAGTCGAAAATTTGAACTCTCAAATTTCTCATGATAAGGGAACCAAACAGCTGGTTTCCTAATTCCTCAGCGAGGACTTTGACTAAGATGTGCCAAAGAATATCATCTCGCACACCAAAGAAAACATCCTGCACTCAAAAATATTTCCGAAATCTTCAATTGAAGAAATAGGTTGTGATTGAGCACACTTTGTAAGTATCGTCTTCCTAACACCTGGACCCCCTTGACCGTATGGTTTGCCCTGTGACTCAGAAAGGAATAAAAAGAACTAGTAAAGAGCTAGTCTTCACACTTCAGTTCCCCGGCTAATTCTTCTAAAGGGCGCACTGAAACCTTTAATGTTTCCTTCACATTTTTAGCGGTCACTATCATTGGTTAAACCAAATCTTCAGGGACTTTCACCTATGTATACTCACAAACACATTAGGCCCTTAACCATTTTTGTCGTCAATACTCTAAAACCACAAAGGGGCACTGGATGCACTTACATATGCCTATGTCGGGGGTGGTGGAGGCCTATCCGGAGACTATGCTATCACACATGTTGGGGTAAAAACCTCCCTGGGTACTTGGGCATTTGCTCCAACTGTGTACAAACCTCCATGAACAGTGGTCGGTACTCCATTCGATGTAGCATAGACCACCTAGAAAGCAAGTGCCCCCTTTCGATACTCCATTCGGTGTAGCATATACAATGGGAGGAGATAACCTGCATGGGAGAAGAGTTTTTATCATTAAAACCATATAATTTCTACATAGCCAATTGGATCATAGTAAGGCAAACGTTCCCAACCTTATTAGTGTACAAAATTTTTGGGTATGCTGTCGAGCCAGTGACCGTTGTTGACAGATACAAATTTGGTGCTATTTGGATCACTGACCATGTAGAATGCGCGAACTTGCAGTGAAAGAAGAGGTGTTTGATTGTCTCGCAAGAGCAGAAAAACTACACTTCTTGCTTCCTTGCGAGTTGTGATGAGTGAGGTTGTCCTTAGCCAGCACAACACCTCTGCAAAGGTACCACATGAAAATCTTAACTTTTAGCGGTATCTTGGACTCCAGATTTGTTTATTATTGTCCACTGGAATCTCCGAGTGTGCTATGAGGGTGAAAGCACACGTTACATAGAGTCGACCATAGAGGACCCATGTTTTGTAACATTCCAGCGAAACTCATCCCGGCCTTGTGTCAGGATTATCGCATCCAACTAAGATAGTAGATGTTGCCATGACACGAGGCGGCGGGCGATCAAATCCTTCCCAAATGATACATCCAGAGTGGAGGAGCTCGGAACTTGTGCAAGAGTATCATTCTTATCGCGAGCAATGCGGTACGAAGCTAGATATTGTTCTCGAAGCGTGGCGTTTCCTAGCCACTTGTCCTCCCAGAATCAGATCTCTGAGCTGTCTTTTATTGCAAAGGTACCAAAGCGAAAAGGTGTTCTTTTGCCGCCATCAGTCCTGCCCAAAAATGCAAACCCATAGGCTCCAGCATGCCTGAGACACGACCTTTGGGCCTAAGTACTTATTATGAAAGATGGTTGGCCAGACACCATCCTTGGTAAGAAGCTTGTACAACTATTTACTAAGGCATTTTTTTGACCTGGTGGTCCAGTATACCTAGGCCTCCCTGATCTTTTTGTCGACAAACCACACTCCATTCAGTTAGCCTATATTTTGTCTTTTGACTATCCCCCCGCTAAAAGAATCTGGATCTATAGTAATCCAACCTCCCCAGGACCCCTTTTTGAGAGTTGGAAAAATGGATCATTTTAGTAGAGCCCCCCTCCCCTGCCCCGCGTTGTCCCCCCGCGGGCTACTCGGGTGCCCTAACCCTGCCGTCGGCCCCAGCCTCCCTCCCTCTCCCCCTCCCCGCCGGCCGGGCAAAGCCCACATGGTGCCGCCGGCGGCGGGATTCCTCTTTCCCTCACCTGGAGCGGTGGTCGTGGGGGACCGCTTCTTCGGCCTGGCGGCGGATCTCGGTGACCGGCGCGGTGGACGGATGCGCGCTGGCGGGAGGTGGTGCGGGGCGGCACGGCGGTCTGGTGACGGCGCGTCGCGGCGGAGTGCGCATGCCGTCGGCGGCTTGGTGCTCCTCGCCGCGAGGGAGTTCGTGCCTGGCCAGATCCGAGCGGGCCGGAGGTGAGGATGGATGGTCGACGCTCAGTGGGTGGCCTGGTGGCGCGGCGGGCCTGGCGGGGCCTGGCAGCGGTGGGGTGGTCCGTTTCTGGTGGCGGTGGCGCTAGCTAAAGGCGGCGGCGAGTCCCACGAGTAGGCTGGTGGTGGCACTTCGATGGCTCGGCCAAGATGGAGTCTTGGCGAGCAGCGAGCGGCTGGTCAATCCTGCGCGGCGTGGCGAGCGGCGCTGCTCTTCTGCTGGTGTCGCATGGGTTCTTCCATGAAGAGGCAGGTCCGGTCAGACGCAAGGTTGTCCCTTGGTGGGTGACAACCGTCGCGGGCGTCCCGGACCTGGCCGGAGATGCTGGTTGGCTGCGGGTCCTCGCACAGGTTGGGAGTTGGTGGTGTGGCTGTGGTTACCTTGTCGGGCGGGCGGTCGTCGGTCCTTGGCTTTGCAGCTACGTCGGCAAGTGCTGCGGTGGCGGCGGTGCGAGTTTTCTTGCACGGTGCCTTCAATTCCATGGAGATGTGGAGAGGGGCTACACGCAGATGAAAATCTTGCACGGCGTCTGCCGGGCCGGCGATGATGGCACCCGCGGATGTCATTCTCCTCCTTGGAGGCATCATCGAGTGTGTTCGCCTTTCCCCTCGCGCCCTTGGTATTGGTGGATGTCTCCGGCGAAAGCCTCGATTCGGCTCTTGGATCGGCACAATGGCGGCGTCCTCGACGTCGCTCCTCTATTGGGAGCATTGTGTTTGGAGACGCGCTGGCTCCTCGTTGCTCTCCTCCGGTGTTCGCCGCTGTCCTTGCTTGATCCTCCGTGGCGCAATGTACGCGTGCGTCGGCAAGTGAAGTTCTGCAGCAGTTGGTGGTCTCGGAGGTTTCAGCGTCAGTCGAGACGCGGTTCTGTGTATCCCCCGAGGATAGGCTCTTTTGCGTTGTAGCTCGCTTGGCGTGGTGTGTGTCCTTGGTCGTGTTGGGTGTGGTGTTTGCGCTGCACTCGTTGTTCGCATCGAGTGGTAGCTTTCTTGTAACTATTATTTTGCCTTCTTTAAAGCTATGGTACGCCTAGGCGTACTCTCGAAAAAAAGAGAGTTGGAAAAATGAGAGCATATAGAGAACCGTGTTTGTGACAACAAAATTGATCAAGACAAGTCATCCTCCACCAGAGACCAACTTGCCTTTCCAACTGCTTGATCATTTCTCTATGCGCTCTTCGACATGTTTTAGTGAGGCGTCAATAATGAATCGGAATTCCCAAGTATCTAATAGGGAATTGGCCTTGTGCACAACCGAACGGGTTGACGTTTGTGCAGCAGTCTCATTGACTTCTTCAGAACGGAATAATTTGCTTTTATGGAAATTGATTTTCAGACCTGACATATGCTCAAAAGCTGAAAGCAAAAGTTCCAGGTTTGTAGCCTTTCCGAGGTCAAGTTCCATTAAAGAATCGTGTCATCGGGGTATTGCAGAATTGAGAGGCCCCCATCCACAAGGTGTGGCACTACCCCTGCAATTTGGTCGTCCTGTTTGGCACGTTTGATCAAAATAGCCAACATTTCTGCAACAATGTTGAATACCATTGGACACAAAGGGTCGCCCTGACATAGTCCCTTTTTGTCTGGAAGTAATGGCGACATCATCATTGACTTTTATAGCCACACTACGTCTAGTGATGAAATTATCAACATACTAGCACACTATCACCAACAGTCTCTTGCATAGAATATGAAAATCTTCACTCGCATGATTGGGAAGCTAAATTTGAATTTCACTTCTGGGGGCACATTTTCACATATTTTACAATCAGAATGCGAAGATACAACAAACCAGATTGTCCTATGTGCCTGCACAAAAGCACTTGATAAATATCTCGGATTGACGGAGCTATTTGCACAGAAGTTTCTTGATCCTGAGTGTGGTAGGCACTAGTAGCAAGGTTTCTGAGAAGGAAAGGGATGTAAATCTTAAAAATGTGTAATATTTTCACATCAGTAAAATACACTGGTATATTTTTTTCAAATCAATTTATTAATTGCTATGGTTTAGTGATTGATACTACACTCTCACAAATTTAATTCTAGAAAGTACTGCATGATATTGCTAGCTAGTGATGCAAACTTACATAAGAGCATGTGAGTAACTCAAATGTTAGTACATAGGGTTGTACATGTGACTGCAGCAATGGAATAAGTGTGCACTCTTCTATCCTTAAAAAAGGTGGCTAACTATGCAAGGCACAAACTACTACACATACCAGTCTATAAACTGCTCCAAAGACCGCTGGATTTCATATTGGTTATTAGTCTATATGAAAAACAGTAATATGTATGTTACTCCTTGTGTATCCGATTTTAATCAGCATGCACCCTTCTTCCATGGTTATATGTCAAAGCAAATTAAGTAATGATTTTCTTTATTATTTTTGATATTCTTCAGGTCTCTGGTTATTGTGGCCTCCTAATCGGAAGTCCTATAATTTTGTACGAGATCATAGCATTTGTTCTCCCTGGTTTAACCAAGGATGAGCGGAAATTCCTAGGGCCCATTGTTTTGGGTTCTTCAGTTCTGTTCTACCTTGGCATTTTATTCTCCTACACTGTTCTTGCTCCAGCAGCATTGAACTTCTTCGTGAATTATGCCGAAGGAGCGGTGGAATCGATATGGTCAATAGACCAGTACTTTGAGTTCGTACTTGTGCTTCTGTTCAGCACAGGATTATCTTTTCAGGTAAACATGGCCTCTATGCTTAGAACATGATATTAAGTTGGGTGTTGGAAAGTGTTCCTTTGCTTACAATTGTACCAAAATTAAACATTGGATCATGTAATGTTCTGTCTAAGTTTATGTACACGGATGTTCATGTGGCAGACATTGCTGAGAATCCACTTCATTGTAGGTTTGCTAGGTTGTTGCAAGGGCTTTAAAATGGCAGGTATCATTTATGAAGACACTGGATTTTGTAACCACAAATAGGTTGTGTTGGATTAAGTCTGTATGTTCCCCGCAAAAAAGAAGAAAGGATTAAGTCTGTATGTGTAGACAAAGTTATACCTGTCAAGAAAGTTCTCCACCGGATCTAATTTGTGATTTGTGTTTTTTACGTTCTTGTCATGAGTGATCATGTGGACCACTTCATGAACAACTAGAAAGTATATTGTTACTCCCTCCGTTCTAAAATACTTGTCGTGGTTTTTTCAAATTAATCATGTATGCTCCAGTCAGTAGCTGAATCTTGATAACTGGAATTGGCACTCGTGCATGTCTGAGTAAATCGTTATCTGATTATCCAAATGAGCTGGTGGTTTGCCTTTCCTTCCTTTGATAAGCAAATGGTACTATCATAGACCTGCACAGCAAATAGTACTATCATAACTTGCTATCCATGTGCCAGAACCATGAGTTGGTCGCGAGATCTTATGGTTTCATCTCTAGCCTACCCCAACTTGTTTGGGATTAAAGGCTTTGTTGTTATTGTTGTTGTTGTTAGAAATATAATGAATTTCCATGCTACTCTTTTCCAGGTCCCTGTGATCCAGCTGTTGCTGGGGCAAGTTGGACTGGTTTCCAGCGAACAAATGCTCTCAATCTGGAGGTATGTTGTTGTTGGTGCGGTGGTTGCTGCGGCTGTGCTTACGCCCTCGACTGATCCCTTGACTCAGATGCTTTTGGCGGGTCCACTGCTTGGTCTGTACTTGGGTGGTGCGTGGATGGTCAGGCTAACTGGGCGCTAACTGCAACAAGCGTTGTAGTGATTGGGTATTGTGTGTTAGTGTACTACTAGAAATCATAGCCGTGTTGATTGGTCCAAGTGGTCACCGTCCCCCACTGTAACATAGTCTTGTATAAAATTAACTCGGCTGCTTCTCATCTACGAGCACATTATTTGGCCCTCTTCTACGCGAGCCATGCTTCGGTACAACACCCCCCCCCCCCCTTCACAAACCGTATGAGGGTAGTATGGTCATTTGACCATAACGTATAGACACCTCGGTATGTGACGCGTACGAGCTATACGTATACATACATAGCAGATCCGTCGGCCCATGAGACAACTGGCGCACGTTCCCCGCACGTTCCCCCTCCATCCTGGGCCTGGCCCATTTATTATTTTATTATTTTTTAAGCTTCAAAAAATTAGTGGGTGAGCAGTATCAAACACCCAACCTCTTGATTTATAACTACCTGCAGCAACCAACTAGGACAGCGCACCTGTTGTGCCTGCCTTCTTTTATACTTGTTGTGCATCTTATCTTTCTGTTTTTCTTTTTGCCTTTTTTTTCTTCGGTTTATTTTTCTTTATTTCTTCTTATTTTTCTATTTTCTATTTTTATTTTCTTAAATTCGTGAACATTTTGTAAATCCGTGAATTTATCTTTTAAATCTGTGATCTTTTTTCATATGAATGAATATTTTCAACATCGCAAAAATCTTTAACCTTTTTTCAAGTCGATGAACCTTTTTGAATTTCACAAACTTTGATCAAATTCGTGAACTTTGTTTTGTAAAAATTGTGAACTTTTTTTTATTTTGCAAACTTTTTTTTTCCAAATTTGTGAACTTTTTTTCAAATTCTTAACCTTTTTTCAAACCCATGAACTTTTTTCAATTCCACGAACTTTTGTCACACTAGTAAGCTTGCGTTGCACATCTCGGCTAACACATGTAATCATATATAGGATAACCTTCCCTAAAAATAATAGGTTAACCCTATTGAAAATTTTAAAATTCACATGAAGTGTATAGTGCCTAATTCTTGGCATACATAATTTGAAATATCATTCTTCAGAAATCAATTTTCCTTTCATGTACATTTCACCCAAACAATTTGAATACCTTCTTTACTCAAGAAAACAATATGAATACTCTTTTTATTGCATGAGCCAAATTTAGAGTGCATGCTTTCTAATATGCTATCTATTTAGGAATAGACATAGTAGTTCATAACCAGGCTGATAGCAAGTCCATCACCCAATTCTCCACTGCTGAAGCAAGGTTAAATGATGATACCACCCTAAATAGTTTGTAGAATAATCTGGAGATGAAACTACCCGCGCACTGAAATTGCAGGAGAAGATGCAAAATTGTAGGCTAAATGATGATACCCATTGTGCTATTTGTCCAACTTAAACATCTGAGTGTGGTAATCTGTCATGGATAAGCCTTAATGTGATCAATACTAAATTCAAAGATGGGAAAGCTCGAGCCTTCGTACTATTTTTACTTTAGATGCCTTCCAATTATTTCCACCTACTTCTATGATAAATACAAGGCATCATGCCAAAATGTTTGTATTCTAAGTTTTGCATTTTCTAGAGTTTTCTTGGTGTAAAGGGCTGATAAATGGGCAGACGTGTCACAACGTGCAAATAGTGTCGGAAGTTGTTCAAATCTGGCATGGATGTTTCATATATCCATGTCAGGCTGTTGCAAGAAGTTGGGGTCATCCGTGGGCATGTAGTTTCTAATTAAGAATGCCTCTGCTATTTCCATTTTTGGTATTATCAATCAACATGAACATTCTCCTATATCCTAACAATCTATTGAAATTAGTGCACAATTATGGAATTCCAAATTGTGTATGAAAATTTTATAAACTTGAACACCTTTTCTAAAATTGTGGACAAATTCCCAACAATTGATATTATCCACAAATTGCAAACATTTCTTAAATTTGTGAACAAAAAATGTAAACGTGAACAAACTTTTTAATTTCAGCATATTTTTAAAAATTGTGAACAATGTTTGAAAAGATGAACATTTTTGGCATTTCAAAAAAATTTCAAATTTTTAGATAGGTTTCAAAAAGGAAAAAAACAAAAAAAAAGAAAAGGAAAAAAAAATCTTAGGCTTTAGACCAACTAGGCAATGACATCTCTCCTGTCGGGTGCCTGTTGGGCCTGCCCAAGAATTCATGGATTTGAAAAACAATCATCAATTTTAAAAACAGATGTTCACGAATTTGAAAAAAAATCTCACGCATTGGAAAAGTTCATAAAGTTGAGAATAGTTCTTGGATGTGTAAAAACGTTCACAGATTTTAAAACAAAGTTCACATTATTAAAATAATATTTCCGAATTTGAAAAGTTCATGGATTTAAGAAAAGATTCACGATTTAAAAACAGTTCGTGATTTTCTTAAAATACAATTAAGATCAAAGTAAAATAGAAAAAGG